TAGTAATCTGATATCATCAACGTTGCGACGTCGTAGCATTGTCAGCTGTGTTCTTAGTGATGTCTACTCATTGTGAGGTTATTAACAGATGATGTAATAACATTATCACAATTCAATTGTTGCGAAATCTACAAAGTAGATATCGCTTGATCTCACACAAGCGATATTTACTCTGGGAGCCAGTTTTGGATATAGAGAATACTACACGAGGTCTCATTACATACGAAATATACGAAACGAGTGTCCTTCCTATGGTACCTTACCGAGCGAAAGCGAGGTCAGAAACCATAGGAAGGTCACGAGTTTCGTATAATTCGTATGCAATGAGACCGAGTGTGGTATTTTATTTATTACCCACGTCTTACATGCATTAAATTGACAAAATAGCGTATTTTTGTTATTGTTATGGTTATGGAAAATGAATTTCACTTTTAAATTTTAATAACATCGTATTGTTATATTTTATGGCGAGGTGAAGGCAGCATGACCTTTACTAAGACGTCACAGACTGCCCCAGTTCGATGAGGTCGTAAAATTATTCACAATGCATCTGGCGCAGTGGTTACACCTGTTATGTATTTGTTACGCTTATACAGTGTAGTTCTGTAACGCACAATGCGATTAATATAATATCAAGTCCGTACCAGACTTTTCTAGCGGCAGAGCCTCGTTTTGAGATTCCACGATTTCCAGGTTTCCGTTTGTCAGAGCACGTTGTACGACAGAGCACGCTGCACGACGTGTTTGCAGGGATTAGAAGGAGCGTAGTGTTGCAATACACAAGTGTTATATGTATCAAATAATACTGAATAATATTTATGTATCCAGTTAAATGAATTGGTCTAAACATTCCGGACTGGTTATTGTACTAAGTTGCGCAATAGGACGGAATCCAGTCAACAGGAAACGAGGCTGTTGTGTAATCAATGTTTTGACTTGTTCCGTCACAACGTGACCTAATTGAGAGGTCATCGGTTATCAAATCAAATCGCTAGTATCTCAGGTCAAGTCATTACGACACAGGTCAACGCGATACGACACTCGTGTGACGTACGAGATAAGTATGCAACTACCCATACGTCGACCACATGGGTAATAAGATATAGTACGCACACGCAGACATAAATTGTTATTAAATGACATATATCGTTATTCGGCTTGTCGGTAAGTTAGTCACGAATATGCAAAGTCCTTACTTTCCCTTTTAATGTCCTAGAACTCATGATATTTCCTGGTATTAACAGATAATTACTTATCTAAATCACTATTCTTATCACAGTGACACCTTGATATATATATAACTCCGAAGTGTGTCTGGACACGTGTGGCTATATTTACGCCTTAATATATTTAGATCCAAGTCAGAGTTATCTTTGCATGGATATCTTCATGCTGACCTTTCATATGCAGGTTGCATGCAAGTGAGCGAAGTACAGATATAACAGAAGAGGTGTTTCGGCAAGATGTGGACAGTCGTTGTTGGTGTCCACGTTTGTACACATGCTCTATGAACATTAACATGAACATTCTGTTAAGCCTGAAAAAAAACGATGGGAGAAAAATTTTCTCCCGGGGTTTTGGCACGTGCACCACGTGCATTATTACCAATCAAAGTCACGGGCTCTGCCTGCTTTAGTGACAATGCAAGAGCAAAAGTTGTGCGTTTCATGTAATCCGACACCTTATAAATCGGTTTGCTACGTTTGCTCTCTTTTTTAACAAAATTCAACACATTTCTAATTAAACGTTTAGCATAATCTGAATAAGCTTTCATGATGACAGCTAGAAGTAGTCAATGTGAATGATCCAAACGGTCTATCACTGTGCAGTGCACAGGTAACTATCATGAACTGCACGTGCATTGACCTTTATGACCCAACACTGCCGCTGTTACAGGTCATTGGCTCCCTCCCTCTGCAAGCATTCTGCGTTCTGCTGTTGATTTTGTTGACAGTTACATAGACAGATTCTTAAATACAAATGCATAAAATCGGTGATTTACAATGTGATTAGGTTGTCTGACAAAACATCCACTTGCACAGTTTGAGATCGATTGGGTCATTGGATGAAGAGATATTTACAAAAAAACGGGTCCACATGCATTTCATGCCAAACTTTAGTACCCATGTGGGGAATCGAACCCGGGTCTTCGGCGTGACAAGGGAACGCTTTAAGCACTAGGCAACCACACCGCCCCAGTTAAGCCAAGAGTAACAGAGGCGCACCAGAATAACGCAACAGAATAACGCAATATGTTATTTTGAGGCGGACGAGTAGCTACTGGCAGTTGCTCGCTGTTTGAATGTTTATGAGCACATGAAGGCATGACACGGATTTCAGCAACATAGAATTAGTCGTAATTGCACTCAAACTGGAACAACACGTGCTCTCTGGCGCAGAGCAACATCCATGCCTATCCACATCCATATACAGTCATGTCCAGCCATGACCATCAAAATCACCAGATAGCAACCCTATTGGACATTTGGGGGACAATCTAGATCGACGACATCCCCCGCCGCTGGCCTCACCAGGTTTGTTTTGGGGTTAGTTGGGTGAGCATATTTTGTCACGCATCACTTAAGATCCGGGTTAAAATCGGTCTTCAGCAACCCTTGCTTGATCTCAACACAATTGCTGGACTTCCGGTAACTTAAGGTGCAATGTGAGATGAGAGGTAAGAGTAAGTGAGTATGTTTTACGCCGCTTTTAGCAATATGCCAGCAATATATTCCGGCGGGGGACATCGGAAATGAGCTTCACACATTGTACCCAAGAGGCAAGAGATAGCAAACCTTAGATACCCAGACAAAGCTATCAGATCCCTGTTCTCTGCATCGGAGGAGGGCTGAAGTACCATGTTGTATCGTCCAGAACTGTTCAACACAATAATGGACTTGGTGATTTATGTGTACAATCATGTTAGTTTTCCAATCCTAAACTACAAACATAAATAATCTCTAATATATTCTTATCTTTACTATCCTTTCAATGAATGTGTGAGATGAGAGAATGTGTTTTGACATAAATTGCAATGTTTTAACTATGATAAGTGCAATTATTAATGTTTTGAGGTAATTCTGTGTTTATGAATGTAGCCCTGAAGCTACTCCACATAACCTTGTATATTATATCTATAATCTAATATTATAACAGATTAGTCCCCGTCCATATGATTGGTGCTGTTCCTTGTACCACCCCCAGGGAATGTGTATAATGTATGTGTTATATCCATGTATTGTACATAGTACCATCAAGTAATGCGTGGTGATGAAGCATGTGTATGTTACAATTACGAATAATGCGTAATGGTGTATTATTGCCTATCTTGTGTGTATTGCATTGTATGTATGTATTTGCATTACGTTATGCGTAATGATGTAATATCATAATTCGTATTCCATATGCGCAATAAGTAATGGGAAAGATTTCCGTGTTAACCCTAAACCACACCCTAACCATAACCCTAAACCTAACCCTAAAACCTCGAAATAATCCTTTTAATAGAATACAATTCCAGCGGGGGTTACGGGCGGAACTCTTGCCGTCACATGACATCGACAGACCAACTCTTATGATTTGTCTCATAATTTTGGACACCCGAATAAAAAAGTTGTTTAACAAACGTTTATTATTTTGTAGTAATTTTTCGCTATTTTTTACGAGGGGGGACCACTTGCTGAAATAAACGACCTCACACCCAAGCAGAGTGTTGGTTATCTATGCCTCACCTTGACCCTGCTGTAGTGACATCTTTGAACTTGACCTTTCTTCATGTGTCATTTGTTGCCCATCAACACTTCCATTGTGATCTCAACACCTGTAACGGTTTTTTGTTTTTAAATGTCATTTGACTCCTATGTGTTGGAAATGATATTCAAATTGAATTTTGCCAGAATACTTACCCGGGGTTTACTTGTGTCCCTGTCAGTAAACTGATCCGGGTTTGTTTTGTTCCCTGTCGGTAAAGTGATCCGAGTTTGTTCTGGTCCCTGTCGGTAAAGTGATTCGGGTTTGTTTGGGTCCCTGTCGGTAAACTGATCCGGGTTTGTTTTGTTCCCTGCCTGTCAAGTGATTCGGGTTTGTTTGGGTGAACTGATCCGGACTTTATTTTGGTCCCTGTCGGTAAAGTGATCCGGGCGACTCAAGTCGACGAGAGCACATGGCCCATGTTCACGACGCTGATGAAAATTTGTAGCATCGCAAAGGGTCAAGAATATGTGTGAGTAGTGTTGTGATTACTATTTTCATTGACGATGACTTCTTTATCTGGATATTATCCGCGTTAACTTTGGTAAATATGTGTTTGAAACAAATATTAGTTTGCCATGTCAGCCATGAGGGTTCGTGTATCATGTTTTCGTGGTATTGAGAGAAAATTATATTTATGTGAGCAGCCAAGATGTTCAAGCATTCAAAGCTTTTAAATTGGATCTAAATAATTGTCTGTTTTGATATAAAACTGGAATCGTGGCAAGTAGTGTTCAATACTCAGTGGTACACTGCGGCATTTTGTCGAGTCAGAAATTACTCGATTTGTCAGTGGACAATGAACAAAACATAAATAATTTCAAGATAAAGGCCCACCCATGTTATTTCCTCTACACTGTAATTATGTATAACTATATGAGAAATCATCTTTGCGTTTCTTTTTATTGTATTATATTTATTATTTCTGGGCATGGTGAATCAATGATATTCAGACAAACGTGTATATATTGTTTCCAGCGGATTTCCACTAGAGTGAGCGAGTGAGTTTGGTTTTACGCCGCTTTTAGCAATATTCCAGCAATATCACGGCAGGGGACGATTTCCACTACAGCGGGATAGATTAGTAGATTAGTGAACTTTGAAAAGATCCGCATTTATGTATTTATACAACTCCTTGTAAACAATCGTGTAGTTTCATATCATTACGACGAATGACGAACAGGTTGTTACAGATGGCGCCATGCGTTCAAATTTCTCGTACCTATTTAGATATTAAAGGTCCTACTTACTGTCCAGTCACAGCACGGCAGAAATTGTCCTTCGCATTCCTTCCCGCTACTGTTAGTCATGAATCTTGAGCATTGCTACTGGTCATTTGTGAATTGCATGAATATATTGTACCCGATATTACCCCTTGTTTTGTTTGTTGTAAAACGCCGCACTCAGCCATATTTTAGCTTCATGGCAGCGGTCTGTAAATAATCTCGAGTCTCTGATCATCAACCGGATCTTCACGGATTATATGTTACCCTTACTCAGCTATATACTCTTTATGTAATAAGAACATAGTTTTAACATATTTGCACAATATTTACAGCTCTGTAGCTAACACCCGTGAAGGTCCCGGGTTAGAATTGGTCTCCAGTAACCCATGCCTGTTGTAAGAGGCGACTAACGAGATCGGGTGGTCAGGCTCGCTGACTTGGTTAACACATGTCATCGGTTCCCAATTGCACAGATCGATGGTCATGCTGTTGATCACTGGATTGTCTGGTCCAGACTCGATTATTTACAGACCGCCGCCATATAGCTGGAATATTGCTGAGTGAGGCATAAAACTAAACTCGCTCCCTCACTCAGTAGTTAACATGTCAGACCAGTGCACTGCAGATCCCTAGTTCTCACTCACATTACACAATGGGCCGAAGAAAATTATAGTCGTGATGTTACATGATTACTCAGGTTTCTGACCTTTCTACCATCATTTATAACATGCCATGCTTTGAGTGAAGATCATGTGTCATTATGCTTTCGGGTGAAGATCATGTGCTTCTATGTGTTCTGTGATCCCATACTGCTACGGTTATGTGTATATCTCGTACTAAAATGGTCTGTGAATATCACATGCTAAGCTATTGGGCACAACTGTAAGTTTTACATGAAGATCACCACCACATATACGGCATGAAGACGAGCACATCATTTTATTCTTTGAGGACATTTGCTGTTCCATATGAGTAAATACTGATCAATTATTGTGCATCTATGCTTTGGGTGAAGATCGTGTTTCTGATCCGTTATTTGCAGGCGTACGACTGCGTCTAAGAACAAACTTTTTCTTGCATATTTTTTATGCATATTGTGTTTTGAACGGATGATACCAGTAAGGCAGAACAGGTTTACCCTTTTCGCGAACACCTGGTGTTACTGATTTCCTGTTGCATTTGAGGTCAGTTGGAATCAGTTTCAGGGGAAACCTTATCTCTGACGTTGTTACATATTAACGTATAACATTTTTTCCTGTCGAGTGCAAAATTATTTAAAGCAAATATTTTTTTCTTTATTTCAACCATAACAACTTGCTGATGCAAAAACAGACATCCACAAGAATGTAGACTTCATTGAACAGTGATCTCCCACTGCTCTGTTGTCGAGTATTATCGCCGACAGCAGCCAACATAATAAAACAGAAACTGAAACAGAGAGACAGAGTAGAGGCAGAGTGATAGGGTCTCTGAAGAACGTGTTGGTTAGCTAAGGATGCGTCGCCTCTGTAAAACACGTGTAACGATGCCATACGTGACTAAGGTTGATAATCAGGGATTCGAACTCAAGACTTCTGAATTCTGGCAGAAGTAAGGGATAAGACACGTGCAAGTACGTACTTCTGACGGCGACGTGACTGTCCTGGCCAGCTAGGGAGGGACATATAACTGATGATCCAGGTTTAGATATTACTGATGATCCAGGTTTAGATATAACTGATGATCCAGGTTTAGATATTGCCGATGATCCAGGTTGAGATAAAACTGATGATCCAGGTTTAGATATAACTGATGATCCAGGTTTAGATATAACTGATGGTCCAGGTTTAAGATGTGGGTCAGAAATAAAAGATAGGACGCAAAGTGTACAATGTCATGATGTTTATTTCTCTTTTATATAATATTGCCGATGTGACGATAAATATTAACTCACTCACTCACTGTCTTATATATCTTCGTGAATGAATGTGGCAAATATTAACACAAATCTCAGATGTGTATACACATTATTCAGTCAGCTATAGGTAAGTCAGGTCAGTCTCCTCCTTTAACTTATTCATGACATTCTGGATTTCGTTTTAGAAAATCGCACATTCTGTATCCTTGTCACCGCGTTTATCTTCTCTGACACTGGGTACACGCATCTCCCCTAGTTCTGTTGAACACCGGCTCCTGTCTTTGCAACTGAGTAATGTGGTGTATATAACAGTGCTCATTAAACCTCTGGTCGGGGTCAGGCACATAGTTGTAGCTGAGCCTCCAGGCAGGGGTACAACCAATATGTCTGTCGATGGCTTGCGCCTGCCCGTAGCAGTGTGACTTCAGGCGTTGGGCTATATCTATGGACCTCCCAACGTAGATGACCCATCCATCCTGTTTGATTACGTAGATTCCTGCTACTTGCGTCTGTTGTTGATGCCATTGTCCCCATGGAGCGCCTTGGATACTGATCAGGGCTTGGCTGTTGTACCAAGTTTCCGCCTGCAATACATGTAACATGGAAGTGAATCATGACTGACATACTCTTAATAAACAGACACAACATATATCAGACCTAACACCCCAATCTAACTTGACAGGATCTGCTGGTAGTAGAATAGAATAGAATAATACTTTAATGCCTTTTCAGGAATTTGTGTTACATCAGCAGAGCTACTGACACATTAGAAAGATACCAAACATATTTACATAAATTCTTTGATTTAGGTATCTTCACATTTGTTTAAGAGAGATATGGTACTTGGAATAAAGGATGTACGGGCTCTCTTAGTTTTCACAATTGGAACTTTGTAGCGGCGGCCTGAAGGGAGAAGGTTGTATTCCGAATTTAAGTAGTGAGTACGGTCAGATATGATTTTGACAGCTTGGTTCACGATTTGCCGCTCATATATTGATGATAAACATTCAAATCTGACTCCAGCGATTTTACTTGCAGTGTTAACAATTTTGTCTATTTTAGATTTGAGATGAACTGAGAGAGACCCGTACCAACAATGGAAGGAAAATGTTAAAATACTCTGAATAAATGCTAGATAAAAAAGATGACATCACAGATGGGTTAACATTAAAAGATATCAGTTTACGCATGAGATGAAGACGTTGTTGACACTTTTTGTATAGGGCTTCAGTGTTAGAGTTCCAGTTCAGCTTAGAGTCAATGAAGGTTCCCAGATACTTATACTCCGACACTGTCTCAACACATTCACCGTTGATTATTACTGGAAGCAGTTCTGTGGGTTTACTCCGAAAGTCAATTATCAGTTCCTTTGTTTTTTGTGACATTTAAGAGTAAGTGGTTTTCTGCACACCAAGTCGTAAAATGATTAATGTCCTCTTTATACAGTTCTTCAGAATCAGTGTCGTTCAGTTTGCCGACAATTGCTGCATCATCTGCGAACTTTACAGTTGAACAGGTTGAATTCGAGCTTGCACAATCATTAGTGTAGAGGGTGAAAAGAACAGGAGATATTACACAGCCTTGTGGTGCACCAGTGTTGGTGGTCCGTTTACTCGATACAGCCCCGTTAACTTTCACGTACTGCTGTCTGCCCACAAGAAAGTTTTCGATCCACTTTATGAGGTACGAGTTAACGCCCATGTCTAACAGTTTCTGTATCATGATATGTGGCTGGATAGTGTTGAACGCAGATGAAAAGTCAACGAAGAGGATCCTGATGTATGACTTAGGTGTCTCTAGATGTTTATAGACATTATTCAGGAGTGACAATGTGGCATCAACAACTCCTCTCCTTGACCTGTAGGCGAACTGAAGCGGGTCCAGTATGTCGGCAACTTCCTGACGGAGATGTCTCAACAAGATGCGTTCCAGCGACTTCATTGCTATAGATGTGAGAGCAACTGGCCTGTAGTCGTTGAGTTGTTTAGGTTGTGTCTTTTTAGGAACTGGTACAATTTCTGATGTTTTCCAGACCGAAGGAATAACGTGAGTATTCACTGAGAATTGAAACAATCTAGTGAAAACTGTACACAGTTGAAGTCTGCACTCCTTCAACACAATGCCGGCAAGGCTGTCAGGTCCTTTTGCTTTTCTGATGTTAATTCTGGAGAAGCTTTGAATGACGTCAGCTTCACTATCCTGTACGGCTTCACTAACTTGGGCTCTCTCATTGGTTAAGTTGTGACAATCAAAGCGGCTGTAGAAAGTGTTGAGGTCCTCAGCAAAGGTTTTATTATCCCCGGCGTTGGTTGTCTGCCGTCGCCTGCTCTTGCCAATTATCGTGTTCACGCCTTGCCAGGCTTGTTGCAGATTGCTTTGCTGAAACTGTCTCTCAACTTTCTCTTTGTACGCTAGTTTACACTCACGAGCTTTAAGATTGATGTCCTTCTGTATGCATTTGAGTTTTATTCTATCTTTCTTCATGTATGCTCGTTTCTTTCCGTTTAATAAAGATTTCATTTCTTTTGTGATCCAGGGCTTGTTGTTTGGGAAAATTCTGATTTCTTTTTCTGGTATTATGTTGTTGACACAAAAATTTATATAATCCGTAAAGACGTCACACATATCTTCTAATGTTTGTTCTGCATCATAGAACATGTCCCAATCTGTACACGCAAAACATCCTTGTAGGGTTTCAATAGATTCTCTGTTCCATGATTTGACAGTCTTAACAATAGCCTTCTCTGTTTTTAACTTTTGACGATATGTGGGCAGCAAATACACAGAATTATGGTCCGAAGCTCCTAGGGGTGGTTTACTATATGATTTGTAGGCGTTCTTGATGTTACCATAACACAAGTCAAGGATCTTGTCTTAAAGATGATACTATAGGCGTATATAATATTGACGTGTCTCTTAATTTACAGTGCGTGAGTGAGATTTACGCTTACGTTTCCACTATTCCAGTAATATCACGGCTGGGGACACCAGAAATGGGCTTCACATATTGTATTCATGATGAGCAAACGATTTAACCACTAGACTTTCTAAAGACGCCCATTTTTGTTTTGTTATATCATGGAAGAATATATAGAGGATATTTTGTTAATGTTGTCAAATAACATGTATATTTCATCGAGTGGTCTGACAAAGTTGATATGTTCACAAAGTTGATGTGTTCACAAAGTTGATGTGTTCACAAAGTTGATATGTTCACAAAGTTGATATGTTCACAAAGTTGATATGTTCACAAAGTTGATATGTTCACGAGTAGTGCAGATCAAGACATCGAGTAAGTCTGCATTTTGTTACGCTACCCAACTACAGTGTAGCCCTTGAGCAGAAAGTAGTTCCAGGCAAAAGTGATATTCTACTCAGTGAACTAACATGTTATTCTACTCAGTGAAAATGCCATTTTTATTTTCACCAATATTTACAGTATTTCACACTTAAGAATATAATAAAGAGAGGATATTTGGGTTGTCTCGTCAATAAAACGACGCTTTAACCAATAGGCTACCCAACCGCCCACCTTCTCACATGCACCTGACACGACCCTGACAAAAGTACCATCCAATCCACAATCACAGAGCTGATTTTAAGGCACATGTCAAATTAGCTATTGAATACTTACAGGACAGTTCGCCATTCCCGAAACGTTAGCGTAAGGCAGGTATCTGTGGACGGAGCTTGTACAGCAATGGAGCGCAGTCAGTTTCCTAGAAGTGATACAACTCCTAGTATTGTCGGGCTATCTGAAGTGTGATGTACACAATGACACCGATAAAAATATAACCAATGTAACGCTGACGTATCTCTTAATTTAGTTACGCAATGGACATTGCATAACGTCATCATATAGCCCGATAATTTGATATCGTGCTCCTGACAAATTTAAAAAGAGCTGCTGTATATGCCTACAGAACTTTTACAAATGTTCAATAAGTCAATTTGAGGCCAATAATTAGTCACGTACCTTGTACAGTGGAATCACCATTACCAGGTTTCTAAGAAAATAATCAGAGTATTGCCAATCTAAATTAAACCAATATACCGATGGTGTATCTCTCTCTTTAGTTTAGGTTTAGATATAACTGATTGTCCAGGTTTAGATATAGCTGATTGGTACAGGTTTAGATATAACTGATGGTCCACGTTAGGATATAACTGATGGTCCAGGTTTAGATCTAACTGATGATCCAGGTTTAGATATAACTGTTGGTCCAGGTTGAGATATAACTGATGGTCCAGGTTTAGATATAACTGATGATCCAGGTTGAGATAGAGCTGATGGTCAGTTTTAGATATAACTGATGACCAGGTTAAGATATCACTGATGGTCCAGGTTTAAGATGTGTGTCAGAAATAAAGGAGGACGCAAAGTGTACAATGTCATCATGTTTATTTCTCTTATATATCATTGTGAAAGAACGTGGAAAAAGAGTAACACACATCTCATATACACATTACATGTATTCAGTCAGCTATAGGTATGTCAGATGAATCTCCTTCTTTACCTGACTCATGACATTATTGATTTCGTTCTAGAGAATAGCACATTCTGTATCCTTGTCACCAGGTTCATATATTCTTTCACTGACACATATCCCATGACACATTATCTGCCACGCCAATTTGAATGTAAGGTTATCCTATAGACGTATATAGTGCTGACATGTCTCGCCATGAACATTGGTTTTCTTCATATCTTTATACGTCTGTATTACCTCCACATGATCATTTCCAATGAGATTTTTCGAAAGTCATAGTATATGTATGTGTTTGTAGAAGTGAGGATAGAACATAGACGGGAAATCGAATCCGGAGAGGGGCCAGAGGCCCATTATACAGTGCATTCTACAAAATATATAAATGTTGATGGAGCGCCGCACAGTTGACAGCTGGTATAATAATAGTCATGGTTAAGTTGGTGACACAAACGATTTACGTTTTTTCATTGAAAGGAATACGTACTGCACAAAGCAAGATAAATAGCTGAACAACACCTATGGATATGCACCAGTGATTGTCTTCACTCAGGAACTGAACAATATCGTTAATAAAGAATGAGAACAGAAACGGCGAGAGCTGGCATCCCTGACGAACCCCATATGCACAATCAAAGAAGTCTGTATATCCACCACCAAGAGAGACACAAGCTTTAACATGTGTATACATATTACTTACTAACCTGTACATTCGACCTTTAATGTTTCCAGCACAAAACTTATATAGTAGACCTGTACGTGAGACAGAATCAAAAGCAGACTTAAAATCGATGAAGGCGCAATCTAGCATACCCCGATATAACGACAAGTTCTTCGTTATGACAGCATTAATTATGAAAATATGATCGACAGTTTGGTAGCCTATCCTAAACCCAGGCTGTTCTGGTGTAAAACTATTTTCATGTGTCGCCCATTCGGTCAGTCTGGAACAAGTAAGTTTACAGAATATTTCCCTGAACCTTCTAATAACGTTATAGGTTATTGTTTTCTGGAGCATGTGCATTACCATTTTTAAAGAATTCAATAGTGATACCACTGAAACTAGGGGCTTTACCACTATGCATTCAGTTGTCTTATTGCAGTGTTGATTTCATCTTGTAAAATGACACGATCAAGGAATTCACTATCAACAGTGGCGTCTATCATATCATCATAGAATCGTAAAAATCCTTTTCTGCCTGTACACAGTTGGTTCCCTGAAACAGTTCAAAGAAATGTTGAGTCCAGTGATATTTTGTAACAGATGTAGAGTTCAATGTTGAGTTTCGCCTGTTTACACAAGACCACAACATAATATTATTATGCTCTTTTAGTGCCATTCTAAATTTGTCACATAAACAATTAAAAAACATGTCAACTTTTTGTTTACACATCTCTCTATAATGTTTCCATGCAAGTAAATAGTTCAGTCTGTTTACATCGTTGTGTGAGTCCTGATACGCAAGGAGTAACACATTCGTGACCAACTCGTGTTATTCCGGGACAAGCCGAATAGCGACTCGTGCCCCTCTGGAAGGATTTCATATTGGCGCATGAACATCACAACTACTTTAAACAAGAGTGATAGCCCCATGCCTGTTTGATACCAATGTTTCTTAACATCAGCGAAGGACATGTACATTGCTAAGTTGTTGTTCTTTTTTTTAAAAAATCTATTTTAAAGAATTAAACCTCTTTGATACAGCTAAAAGAAGGAGAAAAACATATTTGTGAAAGACATATTCTTATGTAATTATTACCAGCTGTCAACCTTATATTTCCAATTTTCTAAATAAGGTTTAATAATCACGAATGGGAATTGTTTTATTGAATATATAAATAAGATAATATTTTTTCGGCTACATTAAATCCCAAAGCAGATACTCAAAAAAATTACTTGAAAATGTTTCTCAAACTGAACAATCGTGTATCCTTGCTGTCACACCCCTTGTGGAATTTTAAATGAATTCGCTGAAAAAAATATGAATGACCAAAAAACAGTCAGACTAAAATATCCCCAGAGCTGTGAAATATAGGCCCAATGTTGAAGGTTAATGTTGATCAGTTACATACATGTATGATATTATTGTTTTGAAACTCGAAGCGATTATAATAACGTTCCTAAAATTGGTCGAAGCACACGTACAATCTCCATCACAAGCCCGCAAGATCGTCAGAAATACTCAGTTGGACCCATGAGAGCCGTTATGACAACAAACGCACGTGTGTGTATTTGAATCTCTCACCGTCATTCGCATGATTCTTATTGAAAACTTTATAATAGCCAGCAAAATCCTGTTAGCTGCGTTCTTTGTACTTTCAATATGACGACATATATTTTCCATGATTCTTTAAACAATGACATAATGCCACATACAACCAAAAAATCAAACATAACTAAAACCCAATTATCGCTTATTCATGACATATAATATACATTGCTGGTTATGAAAATACATCAACACAAAATTATAAGCGTACAATCGCAAATCAAAAGTGCAATATTTTGTACTTAGGTTTACTTTCCAAGAAACGAAGCAGCCGGGATACCGAACCCAGTCAGAGCGGGTGGGTGTGCCCTCAAGTATAACGGCTGGTTCATTTGCAGATGCCCTCATGGGTCATTGTGTGTGTATATATAGAGATGTTGGGTTTTGTAAATACATGCCTATTTTTTGTGTATAACATTTTGCAATCAACAGACATCATAACATGTCATGTGTACAAGTATCACACCTGCCTGCCTGTGTAATTACACAATGTGACAGAGACCGAACTCGGGCCATAAATCAATGCGTTTTCTTTATGGTGTATAGCCTGATAGGTGTTAACTTCAAATTGCATGTGATCAGTGATTGAAATTGTGATTGCATTCGTCACCACTCGCCCCTTCCGCAACCTCCAAGAAGATCGGCTTGTCCCGGAATAACACGAGTGGGTCACGAATGGTTCTGATTGGTTTGTCGCATTTTCACACATAACGAGTGGGGGACGAGCCTTCTTCGAGGTTACGGAAAGGGGCGAGTGGTGACGAATGGGAGTAACATTCTCGCAGCAGTGTGTGCATGTCTACATTCACTATCATACCAATTATCTACCTTGCTGGAGAGGCGTTTGTTTATTGGAGGTTTTTTGAAGATGTCAGCACATTATTTCATACACTTATTAAAACAATTGTATGATTCCGATACATTAGACCTTGAAATATAGTCCTGGAATTGATCTTCTAGCTCTGACGAACTGGCTTCGGCATGATGAGCAAATGCTTTAACCACTAGACTTTGTAAAGACGTCCATTTTGATTTTGATCATGGAAGGATATAGAGAGGACACGACCTCTGTGAAAAGTACCATCCAATCCACAAACACAGAGCTGATTCTACGACAAATGTCAAATTAGCTATTGAATACTTACAGAACAGTTCGCCATTCCCGAAAGCTTAGCGTAAAGCAGGTATCTGTGAACGGAGCTTGTACAGCAATTGCGCACAGTCAACTTTCTGGCGGTGATACAATTCCGAGTATTGTCAGGGTATATGAAGTGTCACTTACACAATGACACCAATATAAATATAACCAATGTAATGCTGACGTATCTCTTAACTTTGTCACGCAATGGACATTGCATAACGTCATCATATAGCCCGATAAGTTGATATCGTGTTCCTGACAAATATATGGTCTTAAGTAAAGAAAATTGACAGAGTGTAGAGGAAAAAGTATGAGTTCATGACAACAATATCCCAACACGAGCTGAATTCGACGTTCTGGTGATTTCGACGATTGCATTGCACGCGCCATATCGGGGGAGTATGTAGGCGATCGGAGTGCACGAACAGTTTCACTGGTAGGGCGGGTGCCCAGTCGCTGTCCTGAGAAGTTTTATTGACATGGAAATCGTGAAGTAAAGTTATATAAAAACCAAACAAACATAAATATTATTTACCCGAGATCGTAATACGACTTTAGATGCAAAATCAGTTGCCTTTATAACAAAAAATAGAAAGCGAAAATTCAGTAAGATCAGTCGTCTGCTGGTGACAATATATACTGGCCAAATAAAGAAACTGCACACAGAACATATAAATATAGGCACACAGCGTATTTATACATAAATACATTTGTGAACATAGCAAGTATGCTCATGCACGTGCCAGGCGACGTGACGTCATTGACGGTGGAGTATGGTCTTGCAATGTGTTACTGCACGTGCAGCCCCTACAGGTGCACACAACATGTGAAACTCTGAAATTGCAGTCACTGTCGAAGGTTTGATCTTTGGTCCTTCAAACGTTCACAAATCCACATGAGAAGTAGAGGGTAATGTCCGAGTAACTCTCCATTCCTAAAAAATAATGGAAGCGAGGCCCCGGAGGGGCCGAGGCACATTATTTTGAAGGAATGGAGAGTTACGAGGATATTACCCTACTTAAATTACATTCGAAGTATTGGGAATATTGCTGTTATCAAAATTAAACGTCAAAATGACAAAATGAAGGTTTTATTTTGAAACTGGTACACATCGCTCAATTCCAGAAATGTAATGGAGCGAACAGACAATGGCATGACGTCACAAATGTAATTTAAGTCACATGCACATCATGCCAAGATTAACATCTGCTCAACGTCATGAAGCCATTGGAATGGTTCGAGCAGGAATGAGCCAACAACAGGTGGCAGCACATTTCCAATGCCATCGTAACACGATATCTGCATTGGTCAGGCGTTATGGACTACCCACGTTCTGGGCGTTCCCGACGCAACGACGCCAAGACAGGACAGGTGGATTCGGGTGACTCATCTCAGATACAGGTTCCAGACAGCAGTGACCACGCCCCAGACCATTTCCCAGGCCTCCAATGCACATTTGGTAGCCTCTATGCTTCGTCGTTGCACTGCTGTGCTTCACGCACATGGTGGTCATACCCGTGATTGATTTTGTGACTTCGTCTTGTGACCCCCTACTCGAATTTGAACTTCTGACGTCATCGTTACGCATATTGTTCATGTTCTTTAGACAATTTCTTGCGGTCCGATACTTCAGCTTATAAAGTGTCTACATCATTTCGTCTTTGCTGTGTCGTATTCCAATTCTGAAGGCATTTTCTGTGTGCACAGTTTCTTTATGTGGCTAGTATATAAATAGGAAGCCACGTGATCACAACACTCCCTCGCAGTGCGGAGCAAAAAGTATGGCTCATTGTCGAAAACCCATACAAAATACTCGGAAGTTACGAGCGGGAACAGTTTCGCCGATACGATGTCATCAACGCTATTTTTGTAGGAAACACTTGATATTTTTGTGTGAAATAGATGAATATATCCTTTATCACTCGAGGTTAGTAAAATAAAAACTTTAAATGATATTACAGATAAAAATGACGTTTTTGTCTTACATTGTCGAAAACCCTTGACACCGGGATACCAGTTACCTCCCAATTTCAATGGAAAGAGAAGAAGCGTGGAGGGAGGTACTTGAAGGTGCAGAAGACCGAGGAAGACTCCCTAAAGATGTGGTAACAATGGACACAAAGGAGGTTATAGAATTAAGCGGTGTGAATGGGAGCGACGACAGGTGTTCGTCGGCTGCTAGCGACTGATCGTCCGCTACGGGTTGGCTACGACACCGTTCGTCTGCTTCAGAGCTGTCGTCTGCTCGCAAAGCGCTTCCGGTTTACACACCTTAGGTTGTTGAATCCGTCTGGTGTCATTCGTCACCACTCGCCCCTTTCCGTAACCTCCAAAAAGACTCGTCCCCCCATCGAGGCTTGTTAATCAGAACGCGCGTAAATGAGCCCGGTGCTTTGATAAAAATAATCCCGAGTACTTAAATCGTTTAAGGCATTATGTCATTGTTTAAAAAATCATGAAAATATATATCGTCATATTGAAAGTACAAAGAACGTAGCTAAAAGGATTTTGCTGGCTATTATGAAGTTTTTAATAAGAATCATGCGATTGACGGTGAGAGATTCAAATACACGCATGTGCGTTAGTTGACATAACGGCTCTCAAGGGTCCAACTGAGTGTAGTTCTGACGAGCTTGATATGGAGATTGTACGTGCGCTACAACCAATTTTAGGAAATGTAATCGCTTGGAGTTTCAAAACAATAATATCATACTTGTATGTAACTGATCAACGTTAATCTTTAACATTGGGCTTATATTTCACAGCTCTGGGGATATTTTAGTCTGACTGTTTTTGGTCGTTCATATTTTTTTCAGCGAATTCATTTAAAATTCCACCTGGGGTCTGACAGCAAGGATACATGAATGTTTTTAGTTTGAGAAACATTTTAAAGTATTTTTTTTGAGAATGCGCTTCGGGATTTAATGTGGCCGAAATATTATTTTATTTGTATATTCTATAAAACAATTTTCATTTTTTGATTATTAAACCCTATTAAATAATTAACATAATTGGAAATATAAGGTGGACCTGAACCTAAGGGAATCTAGACTTGCTTTATTTTGGGCTTTAGCACTGCAGTGAAGGCTAAGCACTGGGGAAAATAATTTCAGGGACTGTCAGACAGACTAAGGGCGCGTATCCATTCCAAGGTTGCGTGTTGTTTTGGTTTGTCATAGGTGTGGGAGCCACGCATCCGTTCTGTGCAACGATGTTGTTGTTGTTGATGATGTTGTGTTCGCTCCCATTTCCAACATGCATGTATCCGCTACAGCTTGGTCTTGACTTGACAGATTCTGTTCCAGGTGGTGGTGGTGGTGGTGGTGAGACAGGTCTTATCATCGAATCTAAAATGGAATATAGAAGTAGAAGTACACTTGCATCCCGTTTATCCGGACGGTCAGGCTAAGCGAGTACAGTTACTGAAAGAAAGTTTCGTTTCACCTAAAATTTGTCCGCAAGGTAGGGGTTTTCTCATATACGAGGTTCGAGTATTTGGGGTTCAACTGTATCTCTCCACTAACATCATGCGTCAATCAAAAGTAGGAGTTGGATACCATATCCAGTGATTAGTCCATGATTGAACTCCCAGTGACTGTAGGTCTAAAATTATCCATTAGGTTAACCAATACCATATCAGTGACTGGTCGATGATTGAACTCCCAGTGACTGTAGGTCTAAAATTATTCATTAAGTTAACCAATCAAACAGTTTACCTATCTACGTTACGTGTGCACAACTGATATAAAAGTCGCCAACAGCAAGTTGGAAGGATTCTATAGAAGTTCGCTATAAGGGTTTGATACAACCTCAGACTTTGGTTGGCGTACGTACAGATCTGCCTTGTTAAAACTTCTTCGTTGACTTTGAAGGAACGAAGTGAGTTTAGATTTCATTTTAAATACTTAAATATTATGTTTTTGAAGCTGTACGATGCCGAGTGTATACGATTGTTTAGCATCGATATGTTTACTCTTACAGATATATTTATATATGGTAGCGTATCGAGTGACACGTATACATTGTACAAGGAGAGAACCGATAGGTCTTCCCACACAAGCTGTCCGGCCTATGCTTGTATTTTATGTCAGAAATCATTCGGATCCAAAGTAGCCTTATATCGTCACCAAAAAGGTTTGTTTTAAAGAACCTGAACAATTCCCGTGTAGTCGCTGCGACGTTTTATGTACGAGAAAAAACAATTTACCAAATCACATTCGTAGATGGCACAGAGAAACGTTAAAATGTCGCGAGTGTGGACTCCATAGTAACAGTTTCTTGACTTTGCGGAAACATGAAAAAGATTGTCAGGTTCATCAACTGTTCAGTTATGAAAAGCGTGGTAAACAATATTCCTCTCAAAATTATTTAAAATGGCACGTGCGACGCAATCACCCGACACCTTTGTTCTGTCAACATTGTAATTTCTCCTGTCGCAGTAAGTACAAAGTAGCTTCTCACAAGCGACAGCAGGACGGTTTATTCGTCGGCAGAGGGAAAGGTCGGGCTAGGTACGGTAAGAAGGTGAGGGGTGGTGTTTTGAGCAGGGGTGGGGGTAAAGCACGCGGGCGTACGAAAACTTTAGGTACTAACAGTGGTCACAATACCACACCTCCCGGGTCATTCGTCACCACTCGCCCCTTTCCGTAACTTCCGGCCTGTCCCGGAATAACACGAGGTGGTTACGAATGCTCCCGGATGCGCACGTCAAGCGTTTGGCGGAGAGGCTAGTGTATTTGATTTCAGGCAAACCATGTTAATGAGGGTAGTGACCCATTATTGTATTTAGGGTCCAAAATGGGAGAGTTATTGACGAAGGTAAGAAGGGAAATCATGAAGAAAAGATCTGTTAAATGGGGGCTGTGTCTACAGGCTCAGTTTTCAAAATTAGCAGACAGTGGACAAGTGATACATGCGGATTGGTACGGAAAGTGATAGTTTGATCGAACAATATCACCAACACGTCATTACTTTATTACGGCGAATAGATGAATATGGGGGAGAGAAGTCAAATTTAAA